TGGGATTGGAGACCGTTGTGACTCCAAGTCCAAACCACACTTTGTTGTGCCTTCAGGTCCTAAACATAAAAAATATAGGACCCTTAGTCTGTTCTTCATTCCAATCAAGGCAATGAGCCTCTTATGAATTGAGCTCTAGAGGATTTTATTAGTAATAGATGACATTAAAAAAAAAAAAAAAGCCAATGAATACTAGCCCTCATGAATTTCACAAAAAGCAGAAGACAACGAGAAAATTCAATTCTGTACAGGCAAACGAGTCTGCTGTAGCTGCCCACAAATTTTTTCCTGTTTGTAGAATAAGAAACTCTGTTTCACTGTAAACCAAAAAAAAAAAAAAAAAAAAAAAAAAAAACAGGCGACAGATTTTCTTCTCCAATCAGTCACCTGCCAACATACAATAAGAGCAAGTGCAGAAAGGAGTACACAAGCTGAAAAGCATAAAGAGACAAATGCAACTCACTCTCAGCAAAATCCGTTAATAAAATACAAAGACCTGCTTAGTTACAATTAAAGAAAACAGAAAAAACACCAAAATTGGGGGATTCTAACCTAAAACTGACTCAACACATTAGAATAGCATGCAAAGATGGTCACCAGTTGCTGTTAACCTAATTATGTTCCCATTCTTCCTGCATTTCTGTGTTTCTCTAAACCCTAATTTTTTCACATCTTCTAGAATCATAACCAAAACTCGCTGTAACTCTGTGCAACAAATGCTGATGCTACTGCACTAACCAAATAAAGATATCAATCAAGTTCAATGCCCCTTTCTCTTGCAGCTTCCACCACAATGGTTCTGTTTGTAGTATTAGATTGGTTATGATAACATTGCCACAACTTTACAGAGAATGGATATACCGATAAAGCTTTCTTATAAAATCTCTCATGTCTTGCCTCAGTGCCCAGAATGTTGCCCAATATTCCTGCTGCCTCAACCCACACATGCTCAGGTGGAATGGGGATAGCACAATAGATGGCATTCATCAAGGTTGAGCTTGCCCAAAATAAAATATTGGAAGAAGCAAAACAACCATACTGGTAGCCTCTGCTTAACAGCTTACAGAGAGATATCACAAACTTGTAGTTGGAAGGCACTATCTCCAATATAGCTTCAACAAAGTCAACCAGATCCTTTGCCTTTGTTATCCTTGGGGGTAAAAGAGATGGCCCATACCATGCTTCAAGAACCAAGTTCACAAGAGAAAAATCATACGAGACAGGACACAGCATGCTACCAACTAGTTGCCTGATCCTCGGCTTCTCAATATCATTAATAAATTTTCTAGATAGTGGCTCTGAGATTGGGAAGGTCCGGATGGTATCCAAATACACTTTCAGTATGTAAAGTTGTTGACTGATAGGAGCATCCTCCTTTAACAGAGACTCATTAGTAAGTAAAAATGTAGCATGCTCCCTAATGCAATGCTTGAAACCCCCAGGACCAGCAGCCTTCAACGCAAGGTCAATAGCTACTTGAGCCTCAAAGACATCATTCTGCAAAAATTTATGAAGAGAAAGATTAAGAAATCCAAACATCAAATCCATCTGGTTTGATGTAGAACCACTTGCAGCATCCATGATTTCATTTTGAGGATTTTCAACTCTCCAAACTAAGTCATACCAGCGTGCCATGAGTTTTTTCACAAAATCAGCTTCTCCATTCTGGAAAGCATATTCAGCATATTGGTTCCAGATACACTGAATGCCAGGAACTTCCTTAGGCCAGTTACAGACAGCTTCTTCAAACCCCACAAAGCCAACATTCTGAGAATCATTTTTTTGCATTCTTGCTAACATCAGAACTAGTTCTAAGCAGGAAGGATACAACTTAGTATACTTTTCACACAAGTTCCAATAGCAGTCCTCACCATCAAGGGCCATCATACACCTAATATGGTTGAGAGCAAAAATTTGCATGGATCTGAGATCAATTTCACTCTTAAATGATTCATCATTGAAGCCCAATTCAATAGACCTTACTGCTGCTTCTACCAACTTCAGAAGTCTCTGTTTCTCATTATGACCCAGATTAACAGGAGGCCAGTCAACTGGAAGGAGTTTTTTATCATATTCGAACTGCTCTACAATGACTTCAGGAAGCTTCCTGTAAATAGTCAAGTAGACACAAGAAACCCAGAATATACACCTGTCAGAAATTGTTAAGCATGTGAGGATATTGGTGAGCATCATTGAATGAGGTTCATCAGTATCTGTGGTGGTGGCAAGTAAAAGTCTGTAGATTCTCTGAATGGCTTTATCAACATTCCCAGACATGCAAAAACAGTTCATCATTTGCAAGAACAGATCTAAGATGCATGCACTAGCATACATTTCATCCTTGTCAGAAGCAGATGCACGATGGCAAAGCACTGAGAGGGCAGCATCATACGCAACCAGCTGTTCATCAAGTTTTTTCCGACTGTTGATGTACAGAAGCCAAAGCCCATATGATTCTTCATTGTGTTTGACCTGAAGATAAAGAGAATTTTTTCCAAACAAAAAATGCTTTTAACTTTATTTTATTTCTCTAGATGTGAACATATACATGCATCAATATGTGTCCATGTATCTTTGTATGTCTGCCTTTGTGTGTGTTTTGTGTATAATATCATATGCACAAGGAAAACCCACAATGGAAAGTCCCAGCTAAGCATACAAAGTAGAAACCTTAAGCCTAAGAAACCTCAGAAAAAGAAGGAACAAGAAATGGTTGTGTCTGTGTTAAATTGTGAGCACAGACAAACAAACAAAATGAATTGGAAAAATGTAGGGACATGTCGGGACTATAAAGGTATGAAATTTTCAAAAAAAGGTAAGGCAAACCAACATACACTAATACAGCTAGAGAAATCTACAAGTTCTGTAAAGTTAACATAATCAAACAGGTCTCCATAAATAGACATGTCTCGACTCATGTGGAGACTTCTAGCATTCCTATACAGAGAAGCAGGAAAAACATAAGATATAGTGACATACCGCATAAGAGAACATGTCATCCTTGCCAACAAGTTTCATGTCACTATAGCAGATAACAAGATAAACAATCCAGAGAATTTCTGATGTCTGATCAGCCTCAAGGGCTCGTGACAGCAAAGACAGAGCCTGCAAAAGTGAAAAATTGGAGTTGATAACAGAAATTAAAGTTTTCAGCCATTATATATGGCTGCATATCAGTGTTCAAGCTACAAAAGTTACCTTTTTTATTCCCACCACTTTGCTAACCTCCTGGTTGAGAATAAGCAAAGCTGTCTCCAGTGATTGGATATATGTACCTAAAGCTTGGTTGGGTTTATTCTTACATACCATGCAAGAAGGAGAATACTTAAATTAGATTGTGGACTAAACACAGACTAACTTTATTCCTAAATACAGAAAGAAGCACACAAGCATATGATGTAGCTCAGCATAAGAGGAACTGAAGCATCTCAAAAGCATTAGCAGCAAAGAGAAGGTCCCAGGCCATAGAAATACTGAAACACTTAATAATAACATCAAAGTGGAAAAGGTTTTAGAAATCCTGGCTCTTCATTTTTTTATTTTAGTAATAGAAAATAGAAATAGAGACATGCTCGTCATTGAATTTTATTAGAAATGATGTTTAGAGAAACGATAGCATGATAAATTCAACACCAAAGGTAAAGCATTGAAACAACAATAGCAAGAAATTTAGGGAAAAAGAAAGGATTTAGAAAATACCGAATTCCTAGCAATATATAATTATATATATTAATTAGTCAAAGCACAAGAACATAGAACTCAATCACAGACCATGCAAAATAAAAATAAAACAAAATAAGTACAGAATAAGAGAAAACTGAAGCTGCTCCCAAATGGAACAATGCAAAGATCTAAACCAAGACACATGCCCAGGTTAAAATAAGATAAAGACAACATTAAAAATCATTTTCAAAATTATTGGGAGATGCCTACTTAGAGTTATAATTCTCTAAAATTAAAACCATGCTTCTTTTTTTAAAAAAAAGAAAAAAAAAAAAAGGGAAGACAAAATGCCAAAAACAAACCACTATGCCATTTCTACTCTCGAAGTACGATGATTGTCTACTCCAACTGCCATGTATCTGAATGCGACCATCACTGCCATCCAAGAATGACTCATCTCCAGATACATCTTTATGGAGCAAACTTGATAAAGCTAAGCAAATACTGAAACACTTCCACCAGCAGTCTACACTTCTCCATGCCAGGACAGATTCTGGTGAATGTTGGTCAGCTTCCAAAACATCTAAGCAGACTAAGTAAGTTGGTGAAGGTAAAACATCATGAGAAGGTTTTCTAGCACCATCGCATTGCTGTTGATGTAATGCAATCTGACACTCTGCAAAAGCATTATCTGAAAGAGATGAGCAATCAGAGGTGGAGGTCTTTCTAAGATTAAGAGGACTATTCTTACCACCATTAGAATCATGTTGATCCTGAACCATATTTCTGTCAGAGAAGTCCTTAACATGTTGAAAAGGACATTCATCATTATTGCATTTTCCTCTGAGCTCGTACATGCAAAGAGGCCAAGAGGGATCAACTGCAAGACCACAAGTATAAAAACCCATTCCTTTTGTAGAGAAACCCCATGGTGTCTCCTTCACTAAGTTTCCTTTTTGAACACTCTGCTCAATTTTGTCAAATTTGACAACAGCACCCTCTTCACTGTCAAAATTGTATGTGTGGTTCTCCTCATGTCTAGTCCATAAATTAGTTGAAGTGACATTGAACATTACTTTCATATGACCAAATGTACTCCTCAAGAGGAAAGGAGGTCTGTATATTTTAGATATTAAGAAGTGGCATCCAATGGAAGATCCATTGTCCTCTGAATCAAAAGTAGATAGAAACTTTGAGACAGTTTTTCCGGTATGGCATTCTTCCTCATTCTGGATAGGAGATTCAGAGGTAACTCTTTTTGGTCCCTCACCTAGGAAATAAAAAGAGCATTCCAGAACATTATTCAACTGGATAAAAGAATCATACAATGATGATAATGATAATGATAATGATGATGATGATGATGATGATGATGATGATGATGATGATGATGATGATAAAATGAGTGCTAAATTAAGATAACCTTTTGAACTTAAAAACCAATCCAGAATTATGTAACACTAACCTAATAAAATCTGAACAACAAAATTCATCCAATTAAATATTATATTTTGGATAATAATTGTGCAAACAATGTTATTTCTAGAAGAGATTACCTCCATCATCACATTGAATCTTTTTTCCTGCAACTGGGAGTGTAACACTGTCATTGCTCATCTGGGTTTTTTCACTTCCAACATCACTTTCAGCTCCTCGATCAACTACAGGCTCTACATTGTAAGATGTGGAAAGATTCTTCGATAAAGTTCTTCTTGTCAGCCGTGCAACTAGTTCAGACCTCAATGTTGCCTCCAGGAGCAAAGAATCCTGAGAGGCATCAACATGACAATTTTTGTTTGACTTATCATCTGTGCCCTTTTGAATTACTTCAGAATTTCGATTCTTGTGCTGATACTCAAAGCTTGGTTGAATAGAATCATGGTCCATCAGAGATGTCTCTTCATCCTCATCTATTGAAACAATAGGATCGCTGCATGGAGATCTTATTCCACTAATAGTGTTGTTGCTATTATGAGGCAATGGCTCTGATGTACTATCATCTGGCTCACTGCATGGTTCAGACCCTAAGTTTAATCCGTTCTCATGCTGGTAGGACAAATTATGTGGAACTAAATTGATGCAACGGGCACTTGGCTTAAGTGCAGGCTGATTGAACCGATGATAGTCATGCTGAAAGTGCTGGTTTGATGCTGGTATAAGGTCCATGTTCTCAGGTACATTGTTAGAAGTATCCAATACAATACCAGCACTTTCATGTCTCCCGGAGGACCACAATAAATTGGGTTCATCCACAATAAAAGATCTAAAGCGAGCTGCACAAAGTTCCCTTTGGCGATAGAGTTCAGTACATCTGGCATTAGCCTCTATGAGAGCTCTCTGGGATTTCCTGTAGGCTTTAAGAGCATTTCTTTCTTCAATTTCACACCTGCGCCTGTGCTCTTGCACTTCTTCTAGCTCCTTGTCCAGCTTTTCTTCCAATTCAATTAATGTTTGCATATCTAAATTACCATGCTGCAAATCATTTATAATACCCAAACCATTCCAGATGCTGACTTTTTTGGGAGATGTCTGAAATTCAATGTTTTTTTACCAAGTTTAAAATCCATAGAGAAAATACAAAATAGTAAAAGTGTCTAACAAATCACTAGAAACATGAAACAGACCTGACGTTTATCTTTGAAGGAAGGCTCAGGCATCTTATCACCATACATGACTTTATCACAATTGCTACCATTCACTAAATTCTGTTCACTTGTTGCTTTGTTTAACAATGATCTTGGTGGATTATGTCCGCCAACCTTACTTGGATGATTCAATTCCTGATCGTTCTGTAAAGATAGAGGTATTGACATTTATGTAGAAAATATCACATCTACAATAATTGCAAACCTGGTAAATTTTGACAAGAAAGGACAACTGATTATGTTTCTTTGCAATCTTAAATTAGGAAACTCAGCCCTAGGCTTCCAAGGTTCTGTACAACTATAGTCATGGCCTAAGAATGAAGTCAGGAATAAAATGTTCAGCTTATCCGTTATCACACAGGTGTCTAATGACGTTAATATCTAGAAATTATTTTTGCCATCACATCTGTATCATGTCAAGGTCATTAATATGAACATGCGATATGACACAGACCTATCCAAGATGATGGAACAAGTAATAACACATGACATGCAGAGGGAATAATGAATTTAATATTTTAGACGGCTGGAAAAGAAATCTGACAAGTCAACTATACCATGCTGGGGACAGTAATCAAGAAAGATCAAGAAATGTATATCTTGAATCATTTGACTTACCAAAGTCATTGATAGATTACTGGGGGTAATCTTTGCTAGTTTTGCAGTTTGATTTGACAAAGCACAGGAATCCACCAGCCTACCATTCCTTTCAGATTGACTATTGGAATGTATATTAGTACCTGTAGAACACAAATACCCTGTTTGTCACAGCATTCACCATGATGTTATCAAATCAGATATAGAGAAGATAAACAAGCTATTCACCATCTTTTGTGGTATCATATATGTTCTGTGATGAGATATCCACCACCCTATCATCATGCTTATGCTGTCTAACAATGCTTGACTCAGGAGTGCTCATTGAAATGATTTTCTGCCTTTGTTCAACTTCGTTCCTGTCCTGCACACTGCTTTTCTTCAATTCTGGTTCTTTTGATAGTAAAATTTTTACAGCAGGTATTTCTCCTTGACCATCCAAATTTATATGAATAAAATCAGATTCTCCAACTTTCAAGCGTTTGTTATCTGGTTCTTTTGGCTCTGACAGATTGCCATCAGCAGAAGCTAAAATCCACTTCTTATTGCATAGGTCCATAGGATTACTATCCCTGACTGCAGCCAAAATCATCTCCTTGTTTTGTGCAGACTTAAGCTTTAATTCACTTTCCCGAAGAGCAATCTGCTGCCTTAAGTCCCGCAGTTTGCTGCTGTTCGAACTCACAGCTTGATTATTTCCATGCTCATGGCTTGCTGAACTCTTGCGTTGCGTATTAAAATATTTAACTCGTGATCCTTTACTCATTGATGATGGCCCAACACCCCTAGAGTTGGCCCCTCCAAATGTTTTGGTCATTGATGAGCCACCTGTACGATTTAAAGGCAACTGCTTGGGCATTACTTTGTTAACATTTCTGGTGTTATGACCTAATTTCTTCAATTTTTCAACAGACGAAACAGCAGGTTTTACACCAGTCAAATTGGACTTATTTTCTACAGTTTTCTCTTCCCTGTGTTCTTCAGAGTCACTGCCACTATCATCTGAGAAGCGTATCACTAGGTTATTGCTACCTCCAGAAGGTGCATACCATCGAGGATTAGCAGATTTAAGTGTAACTCGATTACTGCCAATACTTTTCTTATTCTTTGACTGACTTGATGCCTGTTGTTGGTTATTAATGGTGCTTTTGAGATTATTGCCAGAAACTACCTTCCCTGTAAAGTAGAAAATCATTTAAATTAGGATAAGCATCCTCTTTGAAATCAAACCAAATTACCAGCTAAAGGAAAAGATAACTAGGATCTTGCAGCAAAAGAACATAGGCTAGAAGCACTCTCTTGAGACAGCATGCATGTCTTAACTCCATCCAATTAAAGAGAGATGATTGCATTTAGCAATTTATACGCACTCTTTTTACATATTACAATGTTTTATCATGGATGGCTAGTGAGATTTACCTTCCTGAATGCCTTGTGCATCTTTGATAGCTTGTGGCAGTGAAATGGGGATTGAAGGAGTAGCAGCAGTTCCAGTGAACTGTCCAGTGGAGCAAATTCCATTTTCCTGTGTTACAGAAATTTACATGTAGCAATTTATGTAACAAAATATATTGATATTCAAGCAATCAATGATAAAACAAACTTGAACCACATATATGAAAGCATATTGCAATTTCAACATTTATTCATGGCAACAAAGCAAGAAGAAGCAAGGAGTCATGGCACAAGAAGCATTAAAAGGTATTATCAATCATAAACAAAAAAATGGTAATCCAATACCACTACCAAAGAGATACATAAACAAAAAGGTACACAGAAGCCCCAAAGTCAACAAACACAAATTGACAGAAACACAAGCAAAGCAATTGATCATTTACCTTCCAACTCAGTCGCCTGAAAATGGAGGATACCAGAAAAATAAATTAAGGAAAAAAAAATCAAAAGTAAAAATTTCAGGTTTCGCTTAGTTAATAACTCTTTAAAATCTAGCTCAAATAGTTCCAAGACCAAATCATTCTCACTTCTTTATCGTCAGATTCAGCATGTAAAAGCAGGCTTTTCTGATAATCAAACAAACAATGACTATACAGAGACACTAATATCTCCATTATGATTTCCTGAAGGAGGCAGAGATTAAAATCAATAAAAATTTTAAATAACAAAATCGCTATAACCAAACTAAAACTGAGATCCATTCTCGAGAAATAAGTAGAAAATAGCTAATCTATAATATTCCTTCCTTTTCTCAGCAACCAAACAGCTGGTTACCGGAAGAACCGAAAGAAACATAATAAAGCGAATCAAGGAATGAGACCATACGCCGTCATCCGACGGGGTGAGCTCGCGTCCTTCTTTGGCTTTCGAAGCCTGATGGTCTTCGCGAATCGGAGGATTTGATGCGATTGCTTCCGCTCTCTGCCCGTCGGTCTCCTCCATTTTCCCCTCTTTTCTTTATCCGAGTATTCTACCCCTTTTTTATCTCTAAAAAATATACCAAGCGTCAGCGAAGAAACTGTTTTTAAGGCGGCGATAAATCCTCGTCAGCATTTGTCACCGCCACTCAAAAGTTTACACGTCATAACCACGTTTATTAATCCTTAGTTTTGTCAGTAAATCCAACGGCCCAGAGATGATTGTCGAAGCCAGCGTCATTCCACGTTAGGCAAACAGCCAAGCAGCACGAAATTCTCGTGCCTCGATGATATCACGCTCACTGTCTTCGTCTTTGTCTCCACTCTGAGTGTCTTCCCGCACAAGCTACGGACGATCTCTTCCCGAGCAGCAGGGGTCTCCGGAACCGCCGCGAATATACCAGAATGTCTCACCGCTTGGACATGTCTCTCGATGATATTGTCCGTACTAGAGCGAGATATGAAGGGCATTACGGTGCTCCCAGAGGCGGAGGCTAGAGCCACGGCCCAGGACCAGATCGTTCAGCTCCATTCTGCGACCTGATCAGAGCCAACCCGTACCCGGTGCCGCCGGTGAGTACAGCTGCCCGAAATTTTGTTGAAAAGGGGAAGTGATAGATGAGGAAGGAGGAAACGTTGGAAATGTTTTTCAGAACTAACAGTGTTGTTATTTTGGTTAGATATTCGATGGAATGCAGAAAGAATTGAGACCGAGTGGAATCCATGACACTGCGGACACCAAGCTATACAAATCGAACTTGGATTATGATGTCCTAGTACGGATTTTCAGGTTCTTTTCTTTCTATCTAAATGTTATTGCTAATTTCTTGTTACCAGTGAACTTTATTTTTCTTGTTTGTGGGTATTGACCTGTTGCAAGCTTAGTTTCACGAATTGTGATGGCTTGTTCTATTAGATTCAATACTTGAAGGTGTACATACCATAGATTTTGTAAGTTGAATTTTACCTTATAATGAATGACAAATATGAAACTAAGAATATAGGAGGATAGAGTAATGACATTAGGTTTGGTTTGAGTGAAAAATGGACTAGAAGAGGAAGGGAGGGATGATTTTTAATCAATCAAATTATAATGTTCAGAAATAAGGCAATATGATTTCCTCAAAAATATCTCTTCCCTCTGTTCCCCTCAAACCAAACATACCATAAAAATTATAAACTTTTTGCAATTTCAACGCGAACTATTGGGGCAAAGCTGTTATACATTGTGTTTTTGAGATCTGCAAGTTTCTAAAGAACATGTTGAAGACTATATTTTAGCTTTGCATTTAGTTTCCAATTCTTGCTTGGACAATTATGAATAACGTGTGGTACGGCTGGCTGCCCCCTTTATATTGCACCTATCTTATGGCTAACCAATGGTCAATATTGTTTTTGCTTATATTAATTGATTTAATATTCTTTTTTGATTATTACATCTTCTTTGCAGTTGCTCTTCTCTGAGGTTAGTGACTTGAAAAGTTACTCAAATCCATTATAATAGGAGTGGAAGATCAACGGTATTTTGTCTGGTATAAGTTCTAAGTCATTTTTATTGTATTTCATTATTTTTTGCCATTTGTATTTATGTTGCTTTGGCTTTTCATTCCTTAGGGAACAGCAGAAGTTGTTTTCTATCACCAGACAGATGCCCTACCAGTTATCAAGAGATATAACAATGTTCGGCTTGATGGGAAACCATTAAAAATTGAACTTGTGGGAGTAAACTTGCTTACACCTGCTCCTGTGCTGGTAAACTTGGGTAGATCTGCTTCTCTACCAGTGAACTTCCGTAGACCTCGTCCTCTACCAGCGAACATGGGTAGAGCTGCTCCTATAGATTCATCTGAAATCATCATTCCAAGGAGGGCTATTAATGTTGCCACTGAAAGCTTTGAAATTTAATTATGTTCCTTTCTCTTTTCTCATCCAACTTCAAGTTTGCACAACTCTTCTTTTGCTTTACTAAAAATTTATGCTGCTTATTAACATGAATTTGCATTCTATAATTGTTAACCATTTTCTTAGTCTAATGCGATAAGAGGTTTCCCTAGACTTCTCTTCTTTGTATCTGCTTTAATTCACTGCTTATTCAAATTAACATGATTAAATATCCCAATTATAGTATTCAAGAGAAGGTTGGTGCTAGAGAATCGCTTCACGGTGGTAGTGGCCATGGAATTGCTGGGAACAGGGAACAAGAAGGATCCTGTGCAGACAAGGTAACTTTTGCGGATCTTGATGCTGATTTGGACAAGTATCGCTTAGAAACATTGAAGAAAAAGTGATACCTCTTGCCACATATTGGCTTGCAGAACTAGTACTTATAATTTGCCATGGCCGGATCTCTTTTGGAAAATTGGAAAAAAGATTACTCACCACATGACACTAATAGGATGCATTTAGAGATTGGTCTCTTGAGACCCAGTGCTCATGAATTCTTTATCTTGATTGTTCAGCAAATATTCTAATTCAACTTTTTGCCTTGTAAGTAGGGTATGAGACTAATACAGATACTTTTGAGCTGAATTATAATGTAACCATTGTTGCGCAACTGATTTTTATTTTTTTAGACTTTTGCATATGGTAAATACGTGACTTGGTTTTTGGGATACAGGAGCAGTCCTTGCTTAACGGACTACTCTGGTCAAAAAGGGCAAAATGTGTCATGCTGTGCAAAAATTTGTTCTTTCACATTAGTCATTATTAAGAAAAAAAAAAAAAAAAAAAAAAAA